TTTTGAATTTGAATTATATGCACACAAACTGCGCTAGGCTAATAGTTTAAAAGACAAAAGCATCATACATAGATAGCCACACCTTACATTAGGTAGCTAATGTTAGAAAAAGGCTAACTAACTAGCTAGTCTACATCAGTCGTTAGTTAGCTAGTTAATCTGAAAGCTAATGTTAGCAAAATGTTAGGATTTTAATATCTTCTTCCAATTTATGTTCCTTTATCACCACTCTCCACACCTGAGCTGACTTTACTCATGTTTTCCAGTCTTTCTGTACATCTCTGCAACGTTTTATCCAATAGTGCAGCCTGAATATCCCATTCTGTAAATTGGTTTTGAGCGGGCTGAGATCTCTTAACAGATTAATTTCTTCCAGCAAAGATATCTCTGTTTTTTTAAATATAAGAGAAAATCATCCGCATAACATGCTATTTTTTATTCTACTCCATTAATCTCAATACCTTTTCCTTTTATGATTCTGTCTGATATATTGTGCTAGTGGTTCTAGAAATACTGCAAAGGGAAGTGGGAGGCTGTGAGGGCTCTGGTTTCCACCTGCAGGCCTCTGCTTCCCCGATTCACTGGTTTGTTTTGTTGAGTTCATGTCCCGCGGCTGGAGATTTTTATCTTTCCCGGAATTCTCGAATCTCCTGTTGTATTCTCTCTGTGTCACCTTTGCCTGTTTGTACCTCGCGGTTCTTCCTCATTGTCGTCTGATTCTGTCATTTCCATTGCTAACCTGCTATCTGTTTCTCAATGGGATTTATTTACTAGTTGGCAGGATATCTTAAGATTCTGTCGGAGGAGACTGCGTTACGGCTGCAGTCTTGGCCAGATTACTTTTCTAATGCAAAACATGATTATTTATAAGATCGTTATTCTTTTAACAGATAACAGAATAATAACAGAAACAAGGCTTTTTACTTTCTTGAATTGCATTTTTTGCAATGTAGTATCAGTAATGGCTGACAAGATTAATCTTAGTTTATTTAGTCCTTATTTGCTATGACCACAGACTGTGCTGGCAGACGGTCACTGGAGAAAACCCTCAACAGCTGCAGCCTGAACTGAGACCAGATCCTGTTGGACCAGATTGCTCTTCTAACAGAGACATAAGTCCTGGCTTCAGATTCAGTTTCAGTCAGTTAATTTTAATGATCATCTCCTTTCACCTTAACGCATGTCTGGGAGATCGTAACACTTTTTATCATTGTGCAGCATGTTTTAGAGCAGTGACCGCTGCTGAGCCGTATCTAAGTTATTATTTTTCTGCCATAAGAAATGCATTTTTGGCAGCTGCAACACACTCGAGAACTCATGAAACGCAACACAAAAAGAAGCAAAAAGTTTAATAGCGTATCAGGACAATCTGAGCAGCAAGATTAAGTTTACCTGGTTTGATGGCAAGACTTTATAGGCTGGAGGCAATCAGCCGGTCTCTCTTTTCGCATTTGTAGAGCAGTTTTTACTCTATTTCAGTCAACTAAAATGCTTTTTCACACCTAGTTTGTTTTTCGTTCAGTGTAATTTTTTTGCCTCCAGTTCTGATAGAACTGATGCTAGTAGCATCTATGCTAACCTCTTTAGCAGCCATCATTGATGTTTTAGAACAAAAAATCACTTCTCACAGACCTACTGTTAAACCACGGCTGTAGCTCATGCCATAGCTGCCAGTAGTCCCTCAGAGGACACTTGGACACAAGTTATGGATATATTGATAACAGGCGGAGCTCCATTCATTCCTATGTAAGCTGCTCATTAGCACATGAAGCTAAAAGAGTTTGACAAATTACTTGCGTGTCTTCCTAACTTCTGGTTTAGCCCTGGAGTTGATTTAAATGCGCGGCTGGTCGAGACTTTCCAAATGTTATTGGCCCAAATGTATGAAATCCTGATAGTGAACACAACGTAGACGTAGAGGTCATATTCCGAATGGAGGATTTGGATTAGTAGCCATTATCGACTAACCACAAGCTATAAGACTGAAATGATGGTCGTTGTAAATTGATTTTGGGGTTGTCTGGAAGCTGTAATCATACTCAACTGTCATCCAATGTTGTGCTTGACCTTGACAAATATCTGGAAATAGCTCCTGTTCCTGTGTAATGACGCTGTAGTCTGTCCACTCATGGCAGTTGCGGTTCAGTTCGTCACAGCTTCAGACTCTGATAAGAAGCCGGGCTGACGACAGCTGTGGGGGATGATCCACTCTGTGCTCACATATCCAACCTCTGAGTGTCTCCTGCTGTATGGACACACAGCTGGGAGCTTCCACTGGTCCACATCCTGGACCGGGGGGGACCGCTGTGGGCCTGCTGGGTGCTCAGGGAGAGCTGGCAGAGAACGTCTTTATCTGAACATGTGGAAGTGATTTCAGTTTGTGTTCAGCCAGATGTTTTACTGTGGCTGTTTAAAGCTTCATCGAAGTATTACATTCACACAAGGTCCTACTTTAAGGCTCTGATGTATTTCATAACAATGGTTGATCTTTACTTCATGGTCAGAGGTGGCAGACGAGCTTCTTTACTCAAATAAAAGGAAAAACAAGTGTAAAAGCAGCTGTCGGTGCTCTATGAAACTTCAAATTACATAAATAAATGAATTAACTACATCAAATATACAATTTTACATTTCATTTATATTACATATATAATGTAAATATATATATAACTAAAGATGTGATATAAATTAAAGTAGAGTCTAGGCCTGCTCTCTGATCTGAGATAACTTTCTGTATTTGGCATAAATAAATGTAATTGTATGTACTAATGAAATCACAGTAAAAATGCAGCAGGTAAAATATAAAAAGTAATAAATAAATACTCAAGTAAGTAACGGTGTATTTGTACTTTACTTCCCACCTCAGTTCATAGTTTTAAATCTCAGAGGTGATTTTTTTTTATGAGTAAATCTCAGGAGACATTCAAGACCTATAAACTGTCCTCTGCGGTTTCAGCGCCGCCGCGGTTGCTAATAAGTTTCTCTCGTTAACCTCGGCTGTTATTTTTGGAGTGTGTGATGGTTTTTGCACTGTGGCCACTAAACCACAGGGAAACACAGAAGTTGAGTAAAAATCAATTTATTATTGTGTTCATTTAAATGTTTCACCAGTGAGAGTTAATATAGTCACTGTTTAATATGTTTCTACAGGAGCCCAGAAGGGACAAACCAAGCATTGGCTCCAGGTCTAAAACCGTAGTTGCTCCTTCGCACTTGGAATGGGAGGGCGAGGCGAGGGCATTGCAATCTGTAACCTCACTGCTATATCCCACTAAATCCTACACACTGCACCTTTAAGTTACCCTTTTTAAGCCCCGCCCCTTTTCAGCCAACTTCCCCCTTTCCTGTACTTGCATATGCTATGTGCTAGGCTAATCGTTTAAAAGAGAACTACATTTTGAAGATTTAAATATATATCTTACATCTTAAGTTAACTCGATGTAACTTGGTAGCTAATTAATGTAGATTAGCAAGGTAGTTAGCTGGCGATTAGCTATCATTAGCCAACTTCAGAGGTGATTATATTGCTTGATAAAAACTACAGAGACCAGCTGTTTTAAGGAGTCTTTTTTAAATTAAACTATTTCTCAGCCGTTTTTAAAGATTAACTCGTTAGCTTAGTTAGCTTGCATTTTGCTAACATTAGCTAATTTAAGAT